AGAATTTCTAGATCATAGCTGAGAAGTTTCCGTCCCTATTCAGTTAGCTTATCACAATAGGAAAGAGACAGGCGAAGCGTACATCTTTGTCAAAGGATACCTCGTCGACTTCATCAGTCCATCTCTGGTTCGTCGCATCTCGAATAAGCTGTTTAAGGGCTGCTTTCAGATTCGAAGCACCGCCTGAGCGAAGAGTGATAACTGGTCCACTAATTTCTGCTTTGAGCCGCTCTGATAGCTGCTGGAAGAGGAGACCCTGTGACGCAATATTGGGACCAGTAACGATGAATGCAGTTGGAACCCTCCCCCTGCCACAAATATTAGCTCTTGCTCAAGCGCAGGGAGAGACTGCAATACTGTATCGTCGGTGTATCATGTATAAATGATGTGACGCTCACAAGCGTGTCTTCATTCGACTCCCCTAAAATGGACTGTACTCTTGGTCAGTATCAGAAACAATCTCGCCTTCTCAGCTCTTGCCTGGATGCTCTCTTCCGTCTTTGCCCAGTGCTTCTTGAATAGCTCCTCTCGTACGCTAATACATGCAGCATTTTCCAGGCCATTTAATAAAGGGTCGAATGATGCTGGCGCATGCTCTGCTGGCCCTATTGTGGCGGCTTTTTGAGCCTTTCGGCGTTTTGGAGGCCTTTCAGGCGCGTCGTCGGCAGGTCTGAATATGTAGGCAGGCTGTGGAACGTCAGTCTGTTGTTCGAACAATTAACCTTTATGTCCTACTTGATGATCACTGCCATCAAAGCCAGCAGCACTGCTGGCATCCCCATTGACTGACATATGGGCTGTTTGACTCGTCTGGAGCGTAGCTCGGGGAGACGCGAGTTTATCGATATCCGAGAAAAAGTTTAGGCGCAGAGGCGAGTTCTACAAACACCAGAACATCAACACTTATGCCGCCCGCCCAGCCATTTGTGTCGTCCAGCATCCGTGGCTTCGTCTGCAGATCATGTTTATTACGGCTACGAAGACCACTACGGCTACCAACCCCATGGCTCGCACGAAGTGTTGCAAATGGACCTTCGAATGCAAAACCACGGAAAGGCAAGAAGGAAGAACCGCTTATTAGATATTTTGACCAAACGCCCGATGGCCGGCGAAGAGAGGCAGTTGATGACCCAGAGGTAGCTACTATGCTAAAGGATGTCGAAGAGAAGATTCGACTTCTCGAGGAGGACGAGGGCATGTTTGCGGAAGAAGTCGAGAAGCCAGAAAACCCTCTGGAGGACCTTCGGGAGCAGTTTGAAATGCCGAAGAGTATGAGGTCTACTATACAAGAGATGGAAGCTCAGATGGAAATTACCTCCAACTTGGAACACTTGTCAAAAGAGGAGCGAACTAATATTCGAAACCGGCTGTTGAACTTTGGCGCGGAGGGTATGTGGAATCTCTCTACTTGAGATATCTCTCGTTAATGTCGTTATAGCCGTGCTTCTACCCACCCAGGACTCACAAGTGGAATCCATACCGGATACGATGCCTCTAGGACCTTGCACTAGCGCTGCTTCCGACCTGACGCCTGCGTTGAACCTGTCCACGTCTGTGGTCATTAACCCAACAAGTTACCCGATAGCATTTCGCCGGCGTCTACAGTCCTTAAATACTGCTCTTCGACTAGCTTCAAAGAGGATACAAGATGGCCAAAAGCTTGTACCAGATATTCAGAAACAAGCATGGAAGGCCTACCTGCTGTGCCGACATATGCTCTTATCAGAGCCGGCAGATATTCCTCTCGGAGTTTGGACCACGCTTTGGACGATCTTCTCAGATGAGCAGAGAGCAAACCTCGACCGTCTGGCGCATATCAATTATCTGGGCGGAGATATGATCCAGGCTGGTGTGCCTCTTGACCCAGCACAGCAACTCTTATATATGGAGGCCTGTTTTCTAGAGAGAGGCCATAAAGATGCTCTCGAGATGTGGGGAAATGCAGAAGAGTCATTCAATAAGGATAAGAATGCCCATCGAGATTACTTGAAACTCGGTATTCAAATGTTATGCCAGAGTGGTCAAATCAAACAGGCGCTGAAGACAACTAGTCGTCTTCTTAATGTGACGGATGATGTCACCGACTCTCGAATGTTACTGCATATTATTGAAGCCTGTCTTACTCTACGCACTGAGGCCGAAAATAATATTTCTTGGGCCCTATATATGCGTTTGAGGGCTATACTCGGCCCTCAAATGAATATGACGGACTACGATGCAGTCACTTCTATCTTCTTAGCGGCCAACCAGCCAGATTTGGCTCTGGGCGCTTTCAGGGACATGATGCTTACTGGAAATAAATCCGCTGCAGAACAAGATTCAAAAGCGCTATACCAAAGAGCCACGGGCATTGGTGATAGCTTAGAGATGGTCGCGATTGATAATGCTGAGATTAATTGGGCGGATTCTCGCACTCTTGCCAAACTTCCCCCTCAATTTAACAACAAGTTTTTCTTCGGTAAATGGATCAAGAAACTCATCGGAGAAGACGAGCTCGAGGCTGCGAAGAAAGTTATGGATTTCATGATTGAGCGGGGTATACAACCTGACGCTAAGCATATGAATGGTCTCGTGGGTGCCCTGTACCGCACTGGAACGGTGCGGGACCAAACCATAGCGGAGGATCTAGCTTGGAAGATGATAGCCGCGAGACTCCAGTTCGTTCAGCAGCGTGCCGTGCAGATTGAGCTCGAGAGCCCGCTTCGAGCGGTACCGGTAAGTGGGAGAGAGGGTCACAAGACTCTCTTCCTGGCTCCAAGAGCAACAATCGAAACTTTTTCTATCTTGGTACAACAGTATAGACGGCGACAGAAACAGGACCAACTTGTGGATCTTTTCCGTACGCTCAAAAAGGCCCAGATTCCCCCGAATACAATATTTATGAACCAATTGATTATGGTAGACACCAAATCTCACCAATCTCAATGGGCATGGGACACTTACCTTTCTCTTGTTGATACGTATGGTGTCCTTCCAGATTTTGAGACATTCGAGTTTCTTTGGCATCTCATGAAAAAGGCAACAGATCCCGTCTCTAAAGGATCTCACAGAACGTTCTCCACGTGCAGATCATTATTTGCTGAGATGGTGAAGCGGGCACCGGATCTCAACAAGGGGGATAAGATGCACCGGGAACTATATGACGAGATAATCCTATGCTTTAGTCTTTCAGAGGATCAGGTGGGAACTGCAGTTGCTCTGCGAGCTCTGCAGCAACTGTTCAACCTGTATCCTACGGAGCGCACAGTTCGCACAGTTGTACTCCAGCTTACTCGCTTTCGACTCCGAAATGCAGCTGGATCGCGGCCCCGACGACTTGACTTGAATAAAGCCACCAAAGCCCGAATTGCTCAGGTCACAGAAGTCTTAGCAGCGTTCAAGGATCAACGGGCTGAAGAGTTGTTGCAGCATGGTATCAAGTTTGACGAATTGTCAGAAGAAGCAAAACTAGAGGAATCTCTGCTTTTATTGTCAAATCTGCTACGGTATGTCTACCAGGCAAAGATGAGCGGACTAGAAGCGCCCAGCGCGAGTGAGATGTCGAGGCTCACAGCAGAGCAAATGGGCGTGCCTAATTGCAATCCATGGGCTGACCAGATAGAGGGCTAATGGCCAGTGTGTATTATATTGAAGATATCACCACCCTATAACAGTAGAGTTCGAAAGTTTATTGTAAATTAGCATTCAAGGAGCATCGGGTGGGAAACACGCTCGTGTATCATAGGGGTATCATGAATCTATAGTTAGAAATGCACCGCTTTACTGATCAGTCGTGGTCTTCTTCAGTGAGACCCGGACAGCCGTCCATCTCCTTATCAGGGTAGCTGAATTTGCACCAGAAACAGTAATTGTACTCCTCCCTCAAGTATTCCACCAGCTTCTGCAGTCGCTCAGCCGGATCCAATGCATTAAACTCATCAAGCTCTGGATCTTCCTCTTCAATGTCCTCTATAAACCTATGCTGAGTAGGCACCTTGCCTAAGGCTCTCTTGTCATCCGCATCCTCATTGGTGTCGTCGTACGTGGGAAGCCGCGAGAGGCTCTGTTGTAAATCATAACGCATCCGTTGATCTCTCTCCTTCTCCTCCCTCTTTCTCACCAGTCCTCTCCAGAGAACATTAATCGACTTGAGAGGTTTCGTCGAGACCGCGGACTTCTTAGGATCCTCCGCACTCTCATCAACACACCCCAGAGCATCTACCGCTCTCTGCTCTTCCCTCTCGGCATCCATGCGCTCCGCAACCCTCATAGCAGCGCCAACCATACCATCTAGCCTAACCTCCTCCCTCTCCCTCCTCACCCTCTCCCTGTAATCCCCCTCCTCCGCCTTAATCCTCTTCCCCTCCTTCTCGACGGCCTCCCTGAATTTCCTCTTCTTCTCCGCATCCAACCCCACCCCGCCCCGGTCATCCTTCATACTGATTCCAATTGGCTCTGTCATCGCCGAGGTATTGCCCTCACTCCCTAGTGCCGCACCGGGCTTGAACCCCATCTTGGCCATCATGGCCAGGCCTTTATTCTTGGCTGCAGCCTCTGGATCCGTGAAGAGGGACGCCGAGAGTGCAGCTTCTCGAGCTGCTGCCTCGTCAGCCGCACGCTCGGCCTTTGACTTAACTCGTCCCCGAGCTTCAGACTCGCGTTCCTTGCGCAGACGGCGCTGGGTATACGTTTCCTTCTCTCTATGCTTGTCTGGCTCGGTAATGACCATGTTCATGTAGTCCTCCTCCTGGTCTTCCGAGCCATTGCGGGATGAAGGGTCTTGCGTAGCCATTTCTGGTGCGATGACAACAAACCAAACCCACTATATCAGCTGTAAGTTGTGATTGCAGGGTGGTCTAGGCAGGACTGATAAATTTATATTCTGTGGAAGTCGGGAAAACCCTGGCCGGAGATAAAGGCAGTCGTAAGTATTGAAATAAGCGATTTTTCATTTCAAACATGCCAAACTCCAGTGACGCGTAAGTGATTCGTCGCTGCCTATGATCTAAAATCAGAGGCTAATTTTGTTGGCAGAGTGGTTAGCGTGTCGTTCTTATATTCTTCGGGCAACCGATTAATATGATCTTTCTCTCAGAAATGCGAAAGTCGTGGGTTCGACACCCACCTGGAGTATCACGTGTCGTGATGCAATTTTTTTTTTCTTTCTTTGACGTACCGGATGAGAGATAAATTGAATTGAAATCTGTGTCGTGATTTTGGACTTGTGCAGATACTCTCGCTGAAGCGAGAGTATTTTAAGTGAGCCGTAAGCGAGGTGGCCCTAATATCTATTCGATGCACAGTACATTGTGGTGATTTTTTCACTGGAACATGAAGGAGAAAGAGAAAAGTACTTTTTGCTTAATGTCCTGCTTTGTAACAACATCTATCGAGGAAACGTAAAAATCTTAGCAAGGTGTCGAATAATAAGTCGGCACCTCTCAGTTGCTCATCTTCATAGCAACGTGCGCAAGCTTGAACTTATGGAAACTAGGTCCCCCTAGTCTTCTTTTCAAGCTTCCTCCGTCAACTTCCTAGAACTACTGGCCAAAGTTATAGTCATTCATTAAGTTTATTAGACGACTATGCTCATGTCTCTCGTGCTAACCCACCAGTATCCGCCCAACTGCGTTACAAAATTCATCAGGGCAAGAAAATCAGGAATGGTATCATCGCAGCACAGTAACAGGACACCCTCGCAATGCCACCCTATGGAAGGAAGAAAGGAAAGTCTATCCCATCATTATGCCTTAAAACGCATCCTCGAACGGGCAATCTATGCTATCATGGCCCTCGCGCTCACACACACCGCACCACTTGTCCATATTGATGACGCCGCTCTCCTTGCCAGCTACGGGACCGGACTCCATGGGGTTGGGGATGATGCGAACAGAGGTGGGGGCAGGCGATTTTCTAGCAGGGGACAGAGGAGCTGGCTTATCATCATAGTGAGCAACAGGCGAGTGGACACCTTCCTTAGCGATATCCTTGGCCGTTCGCTGAGGTGCCGGGGGAGCGGCACCGGCACTACCATTCGCGTTTGAGCTGAACATGTTCGTACAGGTTAGGATATCATGACCGGATGTCTCGCACAGCTCACAGAAACTCTCGTTGGTAGACGAGTAGGCATCGCTCTCCGGCATGGTTTCGAGCGTGCCTCGTCGGTGAGTCTCAGGGGATCGGGGTTCTCGATCGCGCCAGCTGACGACGGTGCTTTTGGAGTCCCGGTTGGAGCGGTGGTCCTGGGTCACAGTCCCGATACTGCCAACAGTCACGCCACTCGTGCGCTGGCTAGGCGGCTGTCCCATGCTCCCTCTCCGCAACCGTTCAATCTCCGCCTGGAGCTCGTCCTCCCGGCTAGACTTCGAGTCAACAACCGCACGGAGCTCCTTGACTTCTCGTTCAAGTTTCTCTCGCGCAAGACGTTCCGCAATAGAGTCAGCCCCATTGCTAGTTTGCCGACCACCATGTCTGTTTGTCGGTGTCTTTTGAGGGTCCGAATTAGGCGACCCAACATCTGGTACGGCGTCTCGGCTCAAAGAGTGGATTATAGCTTTCAGGCCACGAATCTCATCATCTCTCTGTGCTACCTCCTTCGATATAGATGCTGCGTCCGGGCCTGATCCTCCGTTTGTGGAGGCCGCAGCCTTCTCCTTCTCGCGACGAAGTTCTGAACGAGTCCTTTCCACTTCGCCGCGCAGGAATTCAACCTCGCCTCGGGCTTCGGCTTCTCCTCGTCTAGCATCCTCGAGTCCCTCCTCGAGTTCTTGGACAAGCTCTTCTAGCTGTTTCAGCTGCCGGGCAACGCTATCCACATCTTCGCTTCTATCCTGTAAATCTCGAACTTCTTGCAACAAGTCTTCCACCCGCTTCTCATAAACACGTTCTGTTTCTGTACTTGCCAACTCCAAAGTGTCAATAGTGCTTCTGAAGTCTGCTCTATGCGCATCAAACTCCGCTGTTAACATAGCAATCTTCTCATTCTTCTCTCGTAGTAGAGCTCGCAGTTGTGCCGCATCTTTGTCTTCAATGCTACCTCTGTTGTGTTTACTACTCGGCTCAGCCGCGCCCATTAGTGATTGCACCTCATTTAGACTACTCTCCATCTCTGCAAGGGTCGAGGCCTGCTCTCTGAGCTGTTTGTCTCGCTCTTCCAACTGTGCGCGTAATCGCTCAATCTCGTCATCGTTTGCGCGGGATGGCGGCCGCATCTTCGAGTTGAACGAGGCAACAGAGCCGAAGCTCCCGTTTGTCGTACGGGCGACCCCTACCGGCGTGGTCTCATCATCGCTATAGCCCATGGGATTGGTCCCAAGGGCGGAGGCGCTGCGCGGCCCAACAGAAGCTTTCATACCATTTTTAGGGGTGAAGGTGGGTTTCTTGCTTGGATCGCGAGAGTCCTGAGTGCCTCTGACACTCTGTCCAAATTTATTAGGAGCCGGGCTCGCATATCGAGGGGGCGCTTTGGCCGCAGCAGGTGTGCCTATGGATGGCCGGCCTCCGATTTGTGGTTTTCGTAATGGGGACTCTGGCCGTGGCAGAGAAGGTCTTGATTTTTTATACTGGGGGCTAGGGGCTCTGCCAGGGCCGACTGACTGACTAAACTTTGGGAGGGATGGAGTTGGGGGGGTTATGGCGGTCGGGCCTTGGCTTGCAACTTTAACGCTTCCGCCTATAGATGGGGTTGTAGGTGTGAGAGGGACCGACCCTTCGTGTGAGGAAGGCGAGCCTCGTCGTATGGCTCTGTTGATGGGGAGAAAGATGCCTGCACCAGGAATCGTCGTTGCGAAGTACGAAATCCTACAATATTTAGTTAGTAAATACAGGACAGCGTAAACAGCGCCGTTCGCAAGCCTTACCCATCCACGTCTCCGCTATTCTTCCCTCGGCCAGGGAACTCCTCGGCCAGCTCGACGCCGGCAAAAACGCCGTTCTTGCCCTGGACATTGCCGATGAACTTGACGATGCCATGCATGCCTCCCGGGACGTCGACCAGGTCACCGACCTCGAGATCGTCGCCGCTCCGGCGGGCGGGCGTGAAGGGCGGCATCCTTCCCGTGGTGGGCGAGTCCTCGTCCAGCACCGTACTCAAGCCGTAGCCCTCGCTGGCATCGGGGATGGTGGCTAGGGAGCCAGAGGTAAGGGCGTTCAGGGATGACTTGCGGGCGAGAGCACTCGGTCGGAGGGCGGGCGGTTGCAGCGCGCTGTAGGAGGCCGCGAGGTTCGGGGTGGAAGCGGTATTGATGGAGTTCTTGAGGGACGGTCGTGGTCGTGCAAGGGCTCTGCGAGGTGTGAAGACGGAAGACATCGGTTGTTGGTGGTGGTGGTCGCGGGTCGCCAGGAGAACGTTCCCCCTAAGCGCGCGCCGACCTTTTTTTCCGTCTGTATGGGTTGTTTATTTGCCTCTCAATAATAATAATACTGGCAAATGCGCTGCCCGGGCGCCCCAGCGAACCCTGCTTGCTAGCGGGGCCACGACAATGCGTTCTTCGAAGAGATGAAGAGAGCTCTAGTCACTCTGTTCTGGGCGGGCCATTGGCCTCTGAAATGTTCCCAGCAAGGCTTTAATTGACCATGAGCAGGGCACACAGCGAAGGAGATGCTGTGAGGAGTGGAGGGAGAGGAGGACGGTCTGGTGTTCGAGGCACAAGAAGTACGAGAGAACCACCGCCGCCAGCCATCAGAGACATGCCCCCTCCCCTGACCAGACCGCTGCTCCTCCGTCATCAACAGCCCTTTTGCTTTTGCCTTTGTTTACCCCATCCTCCCCAATCGGGAACTCTACAGACGTTGCGCCGGTCTCACTGGTGCTTTTTCTCTTGCAATGTTTCTTCCTCGCCTGCGTCGCATTTCTCCTTCCTTCTAGGGACTTGAGAACTGCTCTCCTCTTCCCCTTCCATTCTCTCGTTGGCTGTGGCCCCCATTCGGGTTACAGTTTCATGGTCAAGCTCCCGGACGAACAAGCTCTATCTAGCCTGGCCAAGCTCCGTCTTACCGCCATCGCCGGGTTGGATCCCAGCTGGTGCGGGTGCCCGTCCGATCTCTAGCGATAGGGGACAGGCCTGGATCCTGCGACGATGCGTTGTACGGCGGGCGAGCCTAGCAGTCCTGAGGTCATTTCCGCGTTGCTGCGCCAAATTGATCTTCCTACGTTCCGAATATGTTTTTGGATGTCGCCCATACATGGAGAAGAATACCTTGAGACGTAACTCCTCTACCAGGAAAAGTCACGATCGTGATCATTTCGAGTTTATGATGTCAGAGAATTAGTCGGCAGGGTTATTACCAAAGCTTCGTCCAAGAACTTGAATGCCTAGAAGTAGAATATCCCCCGGATAGCCTGGACAGGCCCACTGACCCTAAAATTAGAACGAACTATACGTGAATAATTATATGTGCAAACCTTAAAAGTGTTTTTTTTGCGAAAACGTTACATGGCTTTCTAGTCTGTCTTTAATAGGGATTGAACGAGTTCAGCCCAATTTGCAGGCCTCGTGAGATATATCAAACTCCCAGGCGAAGGAAATGGTATTCCAAGCTAGAAATATTCACCTCCTTGTTTAGACTGCAGATGGTAGAAGGCTTATCCATTCCTCACTTCTCCAGCTCTCAACTGCTCACGTGATGCCAATTCACGCTAGTAAGGAAAAAATCTCGCGAAACTACGAAACCAAGCACACGCAAAATTCGCTTCTTCTTCTTCTCTTTTGAAATTCGTGCGGCGGTACGACCACAACCCGTGTTGCTCGAACATCCAAGGCTCTCTTCAGCACCCGGGGATTTAACCCTCTGGGTGCTGGGTGGCCTGCCTCTATGATGCATGTCAAAACTAAAACCTTGAGCGTCAGTTGTACCACAGAGCGAACTCCAATTGCAAAGACGACCACTCTATTTTGGAGCCCCCGAGCCGAGTTCGCGCTTGCGATTTGTCTTAACGGGCTCGTAGGTTTTGCAGGGCTGGGGGCTGGATGGAGGGTTGGACATTTTACATATGAATATTATTAAAAAGTTTTGGGGGGTTTGGGATGTGCGAGGAGATTTAGTTGCGGTATCGAGAGATTTGGTTCCCAGGTTGTATTCTTTGCTGCTTGTCCATGTTGCAAGTGATAAAAGCGATTCTACCTTCCCCATAG